GAGGACCCGGGGCTTTTCCGTATCCGGCCTCTGTACCCAGTGGTCCAGTCGAACGACCCCTTCTGCGGGGAGGGCACGGGCCGCGCTCCTAACCGCGCTGGGCCGCGAGACCGAAGACAGCGCCTTCCAGCCCCTCCTGCTCCTGCGCGGCTTTTTTTTTTTTTTTTTTTAAGTAACATCCTGTACTAACAGGCTGAAAAAACACGTCAGGAAACCACACTTTAAAAAGTTCTTCCATTTCCTTGAGGAAAGTGAAAACGGGCAGACGGAGAGACACCCTCCCCAGGACACACGTGCATCTCCCAGGCCGCCGCCCACTTGTTCGCAATGCTTTGGATTTTTAAGGAGCATTCCCAGTTTACCTGTGTCCCCTCCCTTCTCCCAGGGCACCTTCTCTCTGATCATTGAGGCTCTGCACACAGATTCTCCCGATGACCTCGCCACAGGTAAAGACACACGGGAAAGCTGTGACCGCCCCCAGTGAGGGTCTGACTCCTGTCTCCCTGGAAACCAGGTCCTGTGTCTTTCACTTCCACCCTTCTCCAGGGGGTTCAGGACGGAGGGTCTGTGGCCCCCTTCCCTGGCAGCGTGCCTCCGCCCCCCTCCCCGCGTCCCAAGCCCCTGGGTTCTGTCAGAACCAACGGGAGTGCCGTGTTCCCGCAGAAAACCCGGAAAGGCTCATCAGCCGCCTGGCCACACAGAGGCACCTGACGGTGGGCGAGGAGTGGTCCCAGGACCTGCACAGCAGCGGCCGCACGGACCTCAAGTATTCGTACCGCTTCGTGTGCGACGAGCACTACTACGGAGAGGGCTGCTCCGTCTTCTGCCGCCCCCGCGACGACGCCTTCGGCCACTTCACCTGCCGGGACAGGGGGGAGAAAGTCTGCAACCCCGGCTGGAGAGGCCAGTACTGCACTGAAGGTGGGTGCCGGTGGTGGGGAGGCGGCGCCCCTCAGTTTACCCACTTCCTGGGGCGGGGCAGGGAGGCATTCTGGGAGCTAGGATCCGGACTCGGCTCGCCAGAGGTGTCTTGGTGGGGACCCGAGGCCAGGGAGCCAGAGAGACTTGCTAAGACCTCAGTCAGCTGGTCGGGGCTGGGGTCAACTCCGACGTTTTAACTTCCGCTGTGGGAAGCTGTCCTTCTTAATCAGGGACGGTTTGGGGACAGGGTCAGGGGTCAGGAAATAGGCCCGAGGGAGGGGGGAGGCAGGAAGGGAGGGCCGCGGAGCAGCTTGTGCGTGTGGTGTCTCGTGTCCGGCAGCTGTAAACCCAGTGTTCTGAGCCGTGGGCTTGGCCGCCTCTCAGAGTGAGCTTGCAAGTGGCCCACGTGAGGCCCACTCACGGTGTGTGAGGTTTTCACGGGTGGGGGCTGTGCCATGTGGCGGGGGGGTGCCGCACGGCCTGTGTGGGGAGAGCCCGCCTGCCTGGCAGTGGGCAGGGCTCCCATCTGCTCGTGTGGGCACTCACACGGTCCTTGCCCTGGGGGAGACACCCCGCCCGCCTGGCCCGTGTTCTCCGGGTAGAGCGGCAGCTGCTCTGGGAGGCAGGAAACTGTCCAGGAGTGGGGTTTTGGGTGGCCCCGCTGGCCTCTGGGCCATCCAGCTGGACCCTAGCTGGCCTTTTCTAGCTGGCTAAGTCCTTACCGCTACCTGGCACACCTGGGTGTTGGATTTCCCTGCAGCTAGGGCGGGTGGGCCCCTGAGTTCCCCAGAAGCCCCCAGAACGTTCCTTCTCCGGCCCTTAAGAACTGAGCCTCTGATTCCTAGGCTCCCTCAGGGTCCGTCAGGGCCTGGGCGTGAGGGTGGGTTCCCCCATCAGTGTCCCCGTCCCAGCCCCCTAGGCGCTCTGTAAGCATTTGGAGTTCGGCCCTGGCCTGAGCCGGCCCTGTTGTCTTAAAAACTTGTGGAGTAGTTTGTTAATGAGTTTCATAACCAGGCCAGGAAGCCAGCGCGCGCCAGCCGCCAGCCTCCCCTCCCCCCGAGCCTCAGGCCGGCCTGCTGCTCCCATCCTCCCTGTCCGCCCTCTCTTCACTGTGGGGCAGCCATAAACTCAAACTTTTTTCTTCTTGTTCAAACACTGGAGTCTCTCCCCGCCCCCAGCTCGCACGTGCCACCCATTAGATCTCTCTGGGCACAGGCAGCAGGGACGCACGCCAGCTCCCATTGCGAGAGAGGGCGCGTGCGTGTGGGGTGTGTGCATGCGTGCGTGCGTGCGTGTGTGTGTGTGTGTGTGTGCGCGCGGTGCACATGCTCGGGTGGGGTGTGGGGCTGAGGGGCTGAGGGGCCCGGCATTGTCGCACTGGGGCAGCTGCTGGGAGAGGACAGACAATAGAGCAGCTGTCTTGCCCTGGTACTCTGCAGACCAGCTGTCCACCCTTATCTGCACACACTTTCTGGGTATTAAGAGGTGGAGCTTTGTGCATAGAATTGGGAAGTGGGGGAGGAGGGGGAAGGACTTCTGACCCTCTCTTAGAAGAAAGGGGCGGTGGGGGTGGGGGCTTCCGAGCTCTTTTGTCCGCGAGCGCTGAGTTAAGAAGGATGCTCGCCCCCTGGGCTGAGTAACGTCCACAGTTACCAGGCAGCACGGTGGACACTCCACAGACGGACACTGGCTCAGCTGGGCTGGTCCCAGCCACACCGCAGCAGCAGCCTGTTACGCTGGGCGGCTCGGGGGCTTGACCCCACGTTTTTTCTTTTCTGTAGCGATCTGCTTGCCAGGATGCGATGAGCAGCATGGGTTTTGTGACAAGCCAGGGGAGTGCAAGTAAGTTTGCAAAAGTTGCTGTTTTTTTCCTCGTTATTGTTTCACACCTGGTGCGATTATAGAATATCTCTAGGTGGTCGTTTGAGAAACTCAGGTGAGACTAGGTGGCAGGAGCTGCTATTCTGCTATTTCTACTTAATAAATACGCGACAACGTGTAAGGCCCCGGGGCGCCACTCTCGTCCTCCCCGTGGCCGCGGGGACGTACAGAGACAGCTCAGGGAGCTGGCACAGGGATGAGAGCGTTTAGCGCTGTGGTTCTCAAGTGGGGTGCATTAGAATCACGCAAGGAGCACCTAGAAAGGCTGGCTGGCGGCCACCCCAGCAGTCACTCCCTCTGGGGGACCCGAGAGGTTTCAGTGTCCCATTAAGAACCAGTGGGACTGGAAGACAGCTTCTCATGAGTGGGAAGCGTGTGTCCAGAACCTGGGAGTGTCAGCGTCCCCCTGACTCCGTCCTGGCTTCTCCTCAGGTGCAGAGTGGGCTGGCAGGGCCGGTACTGTGACCAGTGCATCCGCTACCCGGGCTGTCTCCACGGCACCTGCCAGCAGCCATGGCAGTGCACCTGCCAGGAAGGCTGGGGGGGCCTTTTCTGCAACCAGGGTAAGGCTCCTGCGCCCTCGCGAGCAGCCCCGGCTTGGTCGCGGGGCCCAGTCTGTGACTCTGACCCTGGGCTTCCTCGCTCCCTCCCCGCTGTGTCCTCCCTCAGACCTGAACTACTGCACGCACCACAAGCCCTGCAGGAATGGGGCCACGTGCACCAACACGGGGCAGGGCAGCTACACGTGCTCCTGCCGGCCCGGGTTCGCCGGGGCCGACTGCGAGGCGGAGACCGATGAGTGCGCCGGCCAGCCCTGCAGGAACGGCGGCAGCTGCACGGTGCGTCTGGGCCCAGGGCGCGCGCGCGGCCTCGGGGGCCTGTGCGGCATCTGAGGGAGCTTCTGTGTCTTCCACACGCAGGACCTGGAGAACAGCTACTCCTGCAGCTGCCCCCCCGGCTTCTACGGCAGGGTCTGTGAGCTGAGTGCCATGGCGTGCGCCGACGGCCCGTGCTTCAACGGCGGGCGATGCTCGGACAACCCCGAGGGGGGCTACACCTGCCATTGCCCTGTGGGCTTCTCCGGCTTCAACTGTGAGAAGAAGGTGGACGCCTGCAGCTCCTCGCCCTGCGCCAACGGTGAGGGCGTCCGGCCCCCAGAGCCCGCCAGGCGCCCCCTGCGAGGCGAGCCTGTCCCCTTCCAGACCACACACTCCGCAAGCGCCCTGAGCTCCCGGAGGCCGCTCACCCGCTCACCCAGAAGCTCCTCAGAGCTTTGTCCCTGGTGCAGAATGCCCAGGGAGCAGGGAAGGCAGGCGGGTGCTTACGCTTGGGCTCGTGGGAAAGCCTGAGGCACAGAGGTGACGGGACTTGCTCAAGGCCACGTAGTGCCTTGGTTGCTCGAGGCCCGGCCGCCGTCAGCAGATCAGGCTCGGTGCATCATCCAGCCACTTCGGTTCGGGAGGGAAGCCCAGCTCCGCTGCATCATGCAAACAGCCCTCTGGTGTGTCTGTGGGGAGGCGCGTGCTCTGCCAGGGGGCCCCGGCTGCCGCGTGCGTGAGTGCGGGACGCCCGCTCTCAAGGGAGCAGTTCCCAGCCTGGCTCACCGTGGTGGGAGCTTCTGGACCTTCCCCGTTCGGCATGGCAGGCAAGGGGACCGTCCCCCGGCCGTCGTTCCGCGCTCTCTCCGCGGGGTGCGGAGGCGGCGGTCCTGTGGGTCACGCTCGTGTGCTGGCCAGTTCCCGGCCTGTGTAACTGCAGCCCGGGTGCTTCCTTTTAGCGGTGGGGGCTGCAGACTTAGCGGGCGCGGCCCTGGAAGGACGTGCCCCCCGTCTCGTTCTTTCTGTCTTCAGTCCATGCTCTTCTCACTCGCTCAGCACCCTCTTTAAGCCTCGGCGGCCTCTCTGTGAACAGATCTCTGTCCGCTTGTGCACGGAAGGCCGCCGTGCGGGCACAGCGCCCGCTCCATGCCTGTCAGGCCCGTGTGCCGGCCGTCCAGCTCCCAGAGCCGGGCCGGACCCTGGGGGAGCTGGAGCGGGCGGAACACCCCCACTGCAAGCCACTGCCGTGGAAGCTTCCGGCCTGCTCAGACCCCGGGCCGTCTCCCCGTCCGCGTCTCCGAGTGCGGCGCGGTGGCAAACACACAGCTAGCGCCTCAGGACGACGGCCGGACGACGGGTGACACTCATGTCCTGTGTTCCAGGCGCGCAGTGCGTGGACCTGGGCGACGCGTACCTGTGCCGCTGCCTGGCCGGCTTCGCTGGGCGGCACTGCGATGACAACGTGGACGACTGTGCCCCCTCCCCGTGCGCCCACGGCGGCACCTGCCGCGACGGCGTGAACGCCTTCTCCTGCACCTGCCCGCCCGGGTACGCCGGCAGGAACTGCAGCGCGCCCGTCAGCAGGTGCGAGCACGCGCCCTGCCACAACGGGGCCACCTGCCACCAGAGAGACCGCCGCTACCTGTGTGAGTGCGCCGAGGGCTACGGTGGCCCCAACTGCCAGTTCCTGCTGCCCCCGGTGAACTTCAGCGAGCCGCACATGGAGGGCCGGGCCGGGCCGCTGCCCTGGGCCGCCGTCTGCGCGGGTGTGGTGCTCGTCCTCGTGCTGCTGCTGGGCTGTGCGGCTGCCGTCGTCTGTGTGCGGCTGAGGCTACAGAAGGCCCGGCCCCCCTCCGACCCCGGCCGCGGGGAGACGGAGACCATGAACAACCTGGCCAACTGCCAGCGCGAGAAGGATCTCTCGGTCAGCGTGGTCGCCGCCCCGCAGCTGAAGAACACCAACGAGAAGGCGGACCTCCAGGCGGGCCACGGCGCCGAGAAGAGCAGCCTCAAGGCCCGCTGCCCCCGCCTGGACTGCAACTTGGCACAGGAGCTCACGGGCGACGCCGCCGGCAGGGACCCCCACAGCAAGCGTGACGCCGAGGGCCAGCCTCAGGGCTCTGCGGGGGAGGGGAAGGGCGCCCCGACCCTCAGGGGGTGCGTGCTGCGGGCCAGGTGGGGCATGTGGGAAGGCCACCTGGGTGGGCTCCCCGACACTTAAGGGTGTGTGCTGCGGGCCGGGTGGGGCATGTGGGAAGGCCACCTGGGGAGGGTGCCCCGACACTCAGGGAGTCCTGCATGCTGGGAAGGAAGGCGCCCCCGACTCTTAGGGGTCCTGCGGGCCGGGCCGGCGGGGGTCCTCCCCGCTCCTCATCTTCCTGTTGAGAGGTGTTCCTGTGTGGTTACGGTGGCTCTTTCATTTCCCTTTTAGTAGAGAAGCGTCTGAGAGAAAACGGCCGGACTCTGTGTATTCCACTTCGAAAGACACGAAGTACCAGTCGGTATACGTCATTTCGGAGGACAAGGACGAGTGCGTCATAGCGACGGAGGTCAGTGGCTGGCGAGGCCCCGTGGGCGGGGCCACAGGCTGCTCCTCCCGCTTCTGAGCTAATCGCCCGCTGTCTGGTTGGCCCCTAGGTGTAACATGGAAGTGACATGGCAAAATTCCCGTTTCTCTTAAGTGAACGAAATTCCAAGGATGTACGCCCCAACGAATGCTGCTGAAAGAGGAGGGGGCCCTCGCGGGCGCTGCCGGGCGACCGCGCTCGGACCGAGCTGGCTCTCCTCCGAGGCTGGCGGGTGGCGGTGCGGGCCGTGGCTCCGCGGCTCGTCCGGGGGCCTGCGGCCCCGCCTCCATGACGTCCCCATTGCACTATGGACAGTTGCTTTTAAAAAATATATATTTAAATGAATGGACTTAATTACTACGTAAGGAGCATGCACTGCCTGAAGTGTATATCTTGGATTCTTATGAGCCAGTCTTTTCTTGAATTAGAATCACAAACACTGCCTTTATCGTCCTTTTTGATACTAAAATGTGTTATTTCTAGGTGGAAAAGATGTGTGTTATTTTTTGGACTTGTAAAAATATTTTTCATGATATCTGTAAAGCTTGAGTATTTTGTGATGTTCATTTTTTATAATTTAAATTTTCGGTAAATATGTACAAAGGCACTTCGGGTCTATGTGACTATATTTTTTGTATATAAATGTATTTATGAAATATCGTGCAAATGTTATTTGAGTTTTTTACTGTTTTCTTAATGAAGAAATTCCTTTTTAAAATATTTTTCCAAAATAAATATTATGAATGATGAGCTGAGGTGCGTTGACTCACTCACTGTGCGAGCCTCCGAGGGCAGACGTGGCCTCTGGTTTTCTGTGTTCAGTGTCTGCCTGGTTTCATTGGATGGATTCAAGGCCGCTCTCCTGGCCCCTCTGTCCTTCAGCACAGTTCGGGAGCAGGCGGAGCTGCAGGCAGGCTGGCTCCCAGACGGTCCCCGACTCCCGGGAACAGCAAGGCACGGGCAACTCCGTGTCACGTTCCGTTGGCGCGGGAAACCTCAGAGCTGGCCACCTTCCTTCTGAGCTGATGTTTTAAAGCCGCGTGTGGGATCAGACACCCATGAGGAAACTTATATCGCCGTGGCAGACGCTTCTGTGTTACAGTAACGCTGATTCGTCCATTCGTTTGTGGGTTTCTTTTCGGTTACTCTGAAAGTTAGTTTCCTTCTGATGCAACTGTGGCCGTGGGGACAGAGCCCCCCGGTGCTGAAACACCTTCCACTGAGCGCTCACTGCACGCGAGCCCCACGTCAGCACTCCGCAGGGGCCGTGGCCTCCGCCCCGGGGCTCACGGTGTGGCCGTCCCATCTCGCAGGGTGGGACGACGGAGGTGCTCGCTTGGGGTTCGTAAGCGGCAGCGTCGATGCTGAACCTGGGCGGTCCGCCCCAGACCCCAGTTCCGTCATTGATTGTTATTGGTCGGAATCTGAGCTGCGTCTTGAGAATGAGACTTGGCATTTAATATGCCGTGGTGCCACTTGGTGGTTCCGCGCGGAGTCGGTACCAGTTTTCAGCTCTACGGCTACTGGTCCGTGTTGGAAAGCTGGTTTATTTCCGGGGACACAGAGGAGGAGGCTGACGAGCCGCTTTGCCATCACCCAGTGACCGCGTCGGGCTCATTCCGCTGGTCCTTGTACGGTCCAAAGTTCTGGAATCTTCCTGGGGAGGAGGGCGGGGCGGGTGTGTGTCAACTAGCGCACAGGCCCACCCTGATGTAAGTGATGGAGAGAGCCGAGATGCAGAAAACCACATCGGGTCGGGGTCAGGGGGCACGTGCGAGCCCGGGACAGCCTCCCAGCACTGCTGCGTGAGACACAGCCCGGCCTGCTCCGAGCCCTCCGGCTCCTGCAGGCAAGACTCCGGCGGCCAGGTCAGCGGTGCCCAGAACGAAGCCAGCAGCAGGGCCTCCGGTCCTCCTCTGCCCACGGCACGTCCTAGGACGATGGAGGGGTCGCCCGTGTTTCCACGGTCCGCGGGCTCTGGCGGGGGGTAGGGGGAGCACGCCGGCTCACGCTCGCCGAGCTGGAGCCATTGTTAGCAACTCCCTTTCACTTCCAGAAGTGACCCGACCTGGCTAATAAGTGGCTCATCTATTTCAAAGAACGAGATATGCTGGGACTCGTGTCAGGTCTGCTCCGTGAGAGGCGAAGGCCCCCGGTTCTCAAAGGCAGCCCCAGGCCCTGCAGCCGTGGGAGATGGCCCTTCCATCTGCGGGCAGCGTGTTGGGACCTGACACTGGCAGTGTGGGGTGACCGTGCTCGGTGGGACGAGGTTCCCCGAGCCCCTCCCGGCACCGATATTTGAACTTGACATTTAATCAGGTGGCCCCCCCAGCTTTCGGGGTTCCTGTCATTGGCAGTGGGAAGCTCGGGCACGCCCGTCGAAACCAGCCACAGATAAGCATGGGCATTTAGGGGCCGGCTGCGACTCAGTCCTCTGGCCAGTGCTGCGGTCGGCCGTCCGTCGTCCTCTCTGTGGTGTCACCAGGGACGAGAAAGGGAGGGACAACAGAGCACTTCGGACAGCGGGGAAAAGTAGGCCCTTCTCGCAGGGGCAGGGCCGGCCGCGTTCCCGGTTAGGGGGCCCCAGCATGGGGGGGCCTTGGGGGGGCCGAGGGGGGAGGGCCCCGCCCCGCCCTGGGCCCGTCTGTCCCTGCGCGGCCGGCCCAGGGCTGCGGACACACGCATTCTTCTCCCTAGATTTCTTCCTGTAACTTTTCGCTTAGATGTGGTGTTGACCTTCCAGAACGTAGACAGAGCAGCACTGAGCGCTCCCCGTGGCGGCCAGCTGCACTGGCCTCCCCTGCGGCTGCGCGTGGGAGCCCCCTCCAGTCAGGACGAGGGGCCCCCCACCCCACCGCACCTGCGCGGCTCTAAATTAGTTCCTACCTGGCGGGTCACAGTCTGTTACTGTGGTTACTCTGATGCTCGACCGCCCCACACTTGGGCAGTGTCCATCCTCTGCTGCCAGCGTCCAGGCCCCTTACTGCGTGCGCCTCAGCCCGGCTCTGCAGCCAGCCTTGCCCGCGAGCCCGGCCGCGCCAGCGGGAGCAGCAGTCACCGCGCCGTAGCTTTGCGCCTTTGCAGCCCTCGAAGTGACGAGCGCTTAGAGGCTGTAAGCAGAGCGACCGGCGCCAGGGCCGC